AACTACGCAACAGCGCCATTGATATAGTGGCCTTTTATAGTATTACAACTAAAACCGTTTTTGACGCCGCCACCGCAGTTTGTCCTTCATGAGCCTTCGTAGACAAGATGGCGGTGCAAGATGGCGGCTGCCTGTAGTGGCGACCCGTGACCATGGAGATATAAACAGCTTTTTATAAGGTAAAAATAATAAAACAAGGTCTTTGTCTGCAATGATTATACATGTTTTTTTTTATTATAGTCATTAGTGATTATCTCAGTTTTGGCTAAAAGAATTGACAAAATCCTACACACTGTGCATTTAAATGCAGCAAAATAAACAATTTCAAAGATAATCAATCTTTATTTTACTTGGTTAATTTACATGATGACTTTTAGTTATTTGAAGACTTTTGTTTAAATTAATTTTTTCAAGAAAAGGGGCAGAGACAAGATTTTTTTTCTTCTTCTGCTACCGTTCATTTATGATTTGTATTTTTATTGTACGTAGAATTTATGTTTTTTTTTAAATAAAAATGAATGAATAAAATAACTAAACTAATTGCTGGATGTTTGACCCCTCAGCTGTTGGCCTGCACTAACTGTGGCCCCCGGAGCAGGTTAGTTGAAAAGCCCTGGCTACAAACGTCTTCAGTCTGAGGAGTTTCAGGTGAACTCATTAGCACTGCCTCCTCATGGTGGACAAACAGGTTCGGGCCATCGCCTAACAATAGGCTCTATTGTTCACAGAGGGTCATGTGCCCTATCACCTGACTATCGTTGGGGCCCTGATTCACAGGTTTTGCTCACAGGGGGCGGAGTCATACGTGCAATAACAGCGTTGTAGGAGGACGTCCAGAGGACCTACTTATTTTTTTTCTTTTTGATCTTTTCTACCTGGATTACTGAGACGCATCAGGAAATAAACAGCCTACAGTATTTTTACAGTCTTTATTTTACAGTTAAAATATATGTTTTCCAAATAAAGTGTAATGTTACAACTAGGGCTGTCACAAACGATTATTTTAATAATCGATTAATCACTGATTATTTATTCGATTAGTCCACTAATCAGATCATACGTAAATTGAATATAAAACATACAGCTTATCACGTCAGAATGCAGCTGCTATTGTATAACCATGGTTAGATTTAGATGTCTAGATCTAAAAATTTGTATAGGTCCAGAGGACCTATACAAATTTTTTTCCTTTGATTTTTTACCTGGATTACTGAGATGCATCAGGACATATAGCCAGTATTTTTCTTGTGCACGAATGTTTTTTTCTTCTGTCCTGAAGTGTAAAAATAATAAGAAAATTCACAATTTTTTTTAAGGTTTATGTTACCTCCACTGGCCATAAAGTTTCACGAAAAGGCCTTGAAAAGGCCCACGGACCACCAGTTGATAAACACAGCTATAGCTCATTTTGTGGCTCTGGACACATTTTGTTAGTGAGGCCAGGAGCAGAAGTGGCTCTTCTGACTGTAAAGGTTGCAGACCCCTGCTGGGTTTTAATAAAACCAGCACCAGATGTTTGTTTGTTCCAGGACAACTTCGCTCCTGTTTTCCAGATTTAACACTTATCATCCAGAACAAACAACTGAGTCTTAAGTTTTCTTTAAACGAACACACATCTATTTATGTCAACATTAAAGCCTAATGTTTTTATCTTTAGTTTAGACAGAAGGCAGATCGGTGTCTCGAGGTATTTCCGGTGCAGCAGCGACTTGTTCTCCCTCATTTCCGGTGGTTCTGCAGGTTTGTTTGGATTTTCTCGGTAAGTGCCGAACTGTCGGACTTAGTCCGCCAGAAACATGGAGCATCCGGGTTAATGTAAACTTTGGAATAGTTAATCCTGATCTGTTTGAGATTTTCACCTGTAACCAGGTGAGTCAGGAAGCGACCAGCTGTGGACCAGACCCAGCAGGTCCTCCATGTTGCACTGTGTGTTTACTGCTACCTGTTCCCGCGCTCTGACGTCACTACCTGTCCAACTGTAATATTTGTAATCTAATAAATTGTACTTTAGTGGTTCTTACCTTCCCTCAAGCTGAACCTCTCACTGGTAAATCCGGCTCGGAGGTCGGGTTCACTGACAGCCCGTAAAGTCTCTTCCGGTCACCTGACTTCTTCTTCTGTTGCTCATTGGCGGACTGCATACTGCCACCTACTGTACATGAGTAACATTTTCACCTCCTCTTTTTAAATTCTTAGTTTTAGTTCTGTGGTCTAAAATAAGGACAAAATGTTTATCTTTTCCTCTTCCTCCTAAAGTTAAGGAAGTCCATTTTAAAGTTAAAAATGACATTTACCCAACTAATGTTTTTATTAGATGTAGATTTAAATTTGACACTGCTGGATGTTCATTTTGTGATGATGATGAAGACGATATATCCTGATGCATCTCAGTAATCCAGGTAAAAAAATCAAAAAGAAAAAAATAGTATAGGTCTTCTGGACGGGTTCTTCTCTAATGAAACGTTTCGTCTCTTCTCCAAGAAACTTCTTCAGTCTGAGAGTTTCAGGCAAAATT